ACTGCCACATTCTTATGCAAATTACTCAGTTTAACGTTTAGCGACAGTTTTGGGATGGCATGCCTCATATATTGACTTGTTTCAATATCAATGACTTTTTTATAACAAATATTTCATAAACAGTAATTTTTCATACCATTATGCACTAATATTGTCTACTAATTATAAATAATAATCATATTAGGAGTTACCTTGTTTGTTTTCCATTTTTACTTCCTTTCTGGTGGTGATGACATATCTCAATTTTAACATCACTATTCGAAAAGCCCGTATTAACAGACTTTGCTATACAGTAACAAAATAAAATATAATGGAATGCAAGCATGATATATTGTAGTGTTGTATTATAAGACATCCTGTAATTGGCTTCCGCTGTTGGATGATTTTCGAAATAAATAAATAAAAATAATATTTATCAATTTTAATTTTTATTATATATTATTTTTTATTCAGCTTTAGACAAGGATATGACAAATACCTACGATTAATTACTTTTTAACTGCAACCCTTTCACAAGACAAACACACACGCAAGATGCTCTACAGTGTTTTAGGGAGCGGAGTTCAAATTCAAATGACGTTTACCGCAAATGCTCGAACAAACGCCGTACCACACCTTATTTTTTTTGCAAAGTGCTGCTCTCGTATAAGCGCTATGGCCAGCTGGCTGCTGCGCTTAATCAAAAGTATATAATTACACACAAGGTATACCTTGTGTGTAATGAAACACTTTGAGAAATACGGTTTTAAATACAATGTGTAGTGTTATAGTTATAGTGCACTTCTTTATAACATTTATTTACGATGACTAGGACCTATGGTAAGCCTACCGGACTTCGGAAATACGTGAGATAGGTAACATGGGAATGGACATTGAAAGTGCCACGCCAATATTATTTTTATAAGCGTTGCCCTCGAATAAGCGTTGCTCTCGAATAAACGCCGCACTGAAGCCTCCAACAATTCAAGCATTTACGGTATTCAATGATGGTAAACAATACGATACTGATATACAATACAAAAAAGATAAGTAAAATAAAAAATAAAATTATACCATCATTGGGATCATGATTAGAAGTAGAACTTGTCTCATCATGACCCCATGAAAAGAGAAAAAATAGGTAAAAGGAAAAGCAGATGGTATTGATGGTATGATGATAAATATTCCTTTTTAATTTTACTTTTAAAGACAGGTAAAGAAACTGAATTAATTGAAACATAAATTTTATTCCATAAACTAGGATAAGCAACAGAAACAAAAAATTGTGTTTTTCTGAGTCTGACGAAGCGAACTGGAAAAGAAGCACTTCTAAAATTATATGTATGGGTTCTCTGGGATGTATCTAACAATTGTAACATAGAAAGAGGAAGCATTTTTTTAAACACTAAAACATAAACTTTGCCAGCTGGACCTTGTTAACATCAAGTAAATTTAACATTTACAGTCTTTTGAATAAAGGTTGACATGGAGTTTGGAAGGGTAAATGTAAATTCCGGCTGCACGTTTCTATAATTTAACAAGTATATTCAAATTCAAATCGAGTTGTTATTGATCATGAGAAATGAACTAGGACTGGGAAGCAACTGCACTCAAAGATTTTATGATACAAAAAATATTTTTTCTCTGGAGCTAACTATTCTAAATCATATCATTACTATAAAAAAAATAGTTTCAAAATTTAATTCTTACATCCGAGCCTATCCAATCTAAGAGTAAAGTAATGCATGGTTCGAGCCGAGTCTGTATGTGGAACGCTGTTTCCCATTCTGGTTCAATCTCAATATGATGATCAGTTTGACGGGAAACACTGTTCATACCCTAAAGAAATAAATAAATAAAAAATAAAAAAAACATTTATTTTATAGTTATTTTCACATTGCCCTTTTCCTTATATGGCACAAGGTCATTATTTTTTATTAAAAAAATAAAATGTGATTTATATTATTTAGAAAATTAAGTAGAGTAATCTTTCATTATGCTTATGATAAATTATTGTAAAAAACAAACATGATTAAAGTGAAGATGTACTTATATTTGATATTTAATAAATGTTCATTAATATACTAACTTGTATGAGTTGCATTAGCTTCAGCATAGACTCCAAGCCTTCTATAACACCATTTTTCATTGGTTCACTCCATTCTTCAGGCTTGCAAGTCAAAACATATCTTTCAATACAAAATCAATTTATCAGGTTCAAAATCATAATATAAATGTGATTCACAAGGAATTGAGACTTATTCAGTATATGAAAATTTTGAACTTTATACCAAACACCAACATTTCTTAGACATTACTAGTACATCGAACATTCCAGTTCAAATTGATTTTTAAATAATCTCCACCTACTTTAAATCTGTTAACAGTATTTTAGACACAAATCTAATTAAAGAAGTAAGAAATGCAGTTTGTGGCTGCACTGAGAAACTAGATTTAGGAAATGGATGCTATGAATCTGCAATACTTCACTTATATGTGGCAAAGACAAGCCAAACCAGTCACTGGTCGCAAAAATCGATTTTTAATTATTACGACAGTAAAAAGTAAAATGAGAGCAATAAAATGGTGAAAGGATCATTTAAATCTGACATTTCCTTAAGAAGTTACAAGCATTTAAACATAGAGCGGTTTAAAGAACAATATTTGAGTAATCAGCCTTCAAAGTTTATGATTTCAATTTTTGATATTTAATAAATGTTCATTAATATACTAAACCTACACCTACTTTAAATCTGTTATGGAATAAAGTAGACGCCGAAGTCCAGCATTACTTCCTCTCTCAAAGTTAAGCTTGCCATCTGTATAATTAAAAACAAATTCAAATTAGATACAAAGCCTATAATTAGCAATTTAATAAATTTTTTTAGTTTGAATTGGTGCCAACGACTTTACGTCGAATAATTTGTGGAGAGAATAAAATATTAACAAAATGTAAAAATAAACATCTTGATACCTTTTACATGTTTTTGACTACAGTAATCAAAGAAAGTGTCGACTATCTTCTTTATCAGATGGTGTTCAGCTACAAGATATCTTGCCTAGAGTCAGAGAAAATCAAAATTGTTACAATATGTTTGACAATGTTTAAGAATACATGTATGCAATGCTTGCAAGTATAAGAAAATAATTCCTTCAAATAAAAATTGCAATTCAAACATCCATACCTCTACTATTTTAATATTTATTAGGTAGTTTTGAAAATGACTCTTTACAGGGAAGAACAGCCATTGGCTGAGTCTGGGCCACACGTGTATAAATAAAGTTTATATTATTATTATAAGTGTAAACAGGACCTTAGCTTTACGTAACTTAAATTAGCTTAAATGGCTATCTGACAAAATAATGGAGAGTTGAGTTGAGTCAATTTAACTTACCACTGATGGTACAGTATACATCTGTACCGACAGAGACACAATCGACACATTGTGATCATGATCATCTTTAATGAAATCAAACTGAGCTTCCCTATAGTGCTGCAAAATACATCAGATTATTAATACATTTTAAAAGTACATTTTAAATAGTGAAAGTTTCATAGTCAACATGGTTAAAATCTGAGAAGACTTTTATTTATTTTATTTATTTAAGCACATAAATGCACCAAGGATTGCTAATAGCGAATATATCACTGTCCTATGAGTAGATAACAATCCCTTTCACAAGACAAACATACACACACACACACACACAGACATACATACACACACACACACACACGATGCTTTACACAAACTAAATCTCAAAGTGAGGAGGCTTAGGGAGTCAAGTTGTTTGATTGTCGACACTGACAGGATTGGAAGTAAAGCATCTTAACCACCAAGCTATTCAAATCCACTTCCATCCATTCAACTACACTCACTTTGGTGAATAAAGCTGCAAGGCGTTTCTTGTATTCTAAATCCATCAATAGACTTCCCATGAACAGCTGGTGCCAACCAATACGAGCCCCTGGATCCAATCAAACACAAATATGTAAATCAAAATATAATTTATTAATAATACAACATAATAACATTAATAATACAACATTAGGCATATTAAGACTGAATTCCCTTTGAATGCAACAACAATGTTTAAAAATACAGAGGGAATAATTTAGGATATGATTTTACTGGCCTTTTAATAAAGGTGGTCCCTTAATGGAGTGATATTTAATTTGGGTGTGCACTATAATATAATAACTTAAAAATAGGTAATATAGAACCATAATGTGTAAAATGACATACAATATATAAAACAAACAAGGGCAATTTAAAAATATACATTATCTGAACCTATATTTCGATACAAATCACTAACTCACTAACTTTGCATATTATATCTATTTCACTAAAATTTTATTATGGTTATTATATTATTAAACAAACAATTTTTATCATCTGTTCCTTTATATATCGTGTGACTAGAAATAAAATGCCAAGTTTCTGTTACCTTTCCATAACTTTGTATCAACAAGAATTAGTTTCTCAGTCACCGATTGGTCATCGTCTATTGGCTCAAGGGCAACTTGACAAAGGATTACTCTTAATCCATCTGTAAGAATGATTGGTCAACATTATATTAAGTAATTAATGGAAGAATACATTTGTAATATTTTTGTACTATATATGTATTACTGAGTATCTGCTACAGGAACTTTGGACGAATCTATAATGGGAATAAAATCATATTCCATAGTGAGAATGGCCAATGGTACAAACTGTCCAAAACCTAATGAATAAAAAAAAAGAAAAAAGAAAAACATATTTTGCTGAATTCCACAACTAGTTTGAATTGCTAATAACATGTTAATTTATGATCATGTGATAGTTAAAATATCTTATAGACATCAGTGGGTATAAATGAGGCTTCGCACTGCATCTCAGCTAAAAACATTTTTGGAAAACTCAGGATGTTGAAATTATCAATAAGGCATCTGGATAAATATGGCAGGCTTACTCTAAATAATCAATTAGAAATTAATCAATCAATTCTCCAACACAGTAAAGATTGACAAAGCAGCAGATTAGGAGCTACAATCAATTCTTGCCTAGGACATCGATGAATCCCTGCAATATTCCTCTGCCTTAAAAGACATATCATCTCGTGCAGCACCTCGTTCCATTATTATTTTATAATTCATAGGAAAAAACAACTAAGAAACAGAACATCTACCTGATATTGCAATAATTTCAGCCAGCCATTCTAGAAGTCTCAGGGCAAATGTTTGGTGGGCCACCAAAGCATAGTGCATAACGCTAACTTTCAATGGTTTGGATCCGGTCTTGGCTGTGTTCTTTATTATGATCAATTTGGCCTTTTGGCATTTATCTTGATTTCCAAGACGAACTTGGCTCCGCCCCTGCAATTCAACAAATTCATATATATATATATACATATATTATTATATTATTTGAGGTTTTTGATAACCTCAAAAAATCAATTAAAATACAGATTTTCTAATTTTTATGCCATAGTGTACAATACTTTGCAATGACTAAAAAATTGGAGTTTTTAAATTTCAAACCAAAACTATGCTTAATTTGTTTTAAGGTATTTAATTTTTCTTGAGTCGTTTTTCAGCATATTTTTTGTTCTAATTTGTTAGTCAAGTCTTGCTAACTAAGATTCTTTTCACCTTTTTCTCTTGTGTATTTTGTTTGACACTGATACAAAGGTGTAGTGTCACTAAATAAAAAATAAATATGAAGTTTATTTTGATGTACTTACCTCTCTGTCCACTTTGGTGGCGTACCCAATGGCTTCTTTTTCTGAACAGCTCACCGCCTTCTTCAATGTATCAATAACTTGTTCATATGTATGAACTTCATCATTGAACAACATTGTACAAAAATTCTCCTCCAACTTCCTATAAATATAAGAATCAAATTATGGTTATAAATAAATAAAATTATACTCTACAGCAGGGCTCGATTTAATACTAGTCCGTAGTACAATGTCTAGTAAAAACTCCTCTGGGCTAGTAAACCTACCTGATTACTAGCCCAGTTGGCCAGTGATCAGTTATAAACTATTGATTTAAGTACACTTGGCCAAGAACATAATGTTACTGATGTAAAATGTTGCCAATGACTGGGCTAGTAAAATATCCAATGGGCTAGTGAAATATACAGTAAACTAGCCTAGTGGGCTACTCAGCAAAGAAGTTAAATCGAGTCCTGTACGGCCATACTGTGTCTGTCGTCTATTTAATGAGTTAATAAAAATCAGGCAAGGTTAGTACATGGGTGGGAGACCACTTAGGAACACATGACGTTTGGCTTCTTGCGCTATAATCCCCTGGTTTAAATTTGGCTAGCATTTAGTTTATAAGGGGATTGGAAGTTAAATTTTTTTAAATAAATATTTAGATTAAATTCAGGGGCAGATCCAGAGATGTTTGAAAGGGGGGTGGCCAATCGAGAGACAAAACTACTCGGGGGTTGGGGTGTCGGGAAAATTTCTATTTTCTAAATGCCCCAGAAATAACCTCTGAGGTGTCTTGGATGATCAATAATTTCTTTTTCCTTATTTATTTCTTTCTTTTTTTTTCACTTTCCCCTAAATCCGCCCCTGAAATTGGTCACTTACTCATGTTTCCACTGTTCAGGAATGCTTCCTTCAACTTCCATAGTTAACACATTGTAACAATACCTAAATATGATAGAAAACAGGGCTCTGGTATATTGCTGCATGTCTAGGGGGAGTCGCTCCAAAGGATCCTGAAATTTTTAAAAAACCATGGAATTTATCCACATATACAGTAATGTGGATTTTCATAGCTCAAGTATAAGGAATATACCCTCATTTTCCATACGATGACATTACAGGTATAGAGACAAGTTGCAAATAGGTAGGTCTTTAAAATTCCAATCAATATATTTCCATGTCTAAATATCTGTAAACACTTTTAAGCTTTATGTTTATGTGTAACAAATAACTGTGATTTTTTTTTATGCTCAATACCTCGGAGTCTTCCAAGAAAATGTTTTTTCTTACATGGATATTACATTCAGTCACAAGGTCGCTATGCAATTAATATTCCTAAAATAATAGAAAGATGATGTGAATATCAACAAGCACAACTTACTTGATTAGGTAGAGAGGAATGAAGCTTGTGTAAGTCACACGCAACATCCTTCTTCCATGCTTCCGCATCTCCACAATCACAATATCCTCCACCATTAGAACTGGTCATCTATGAATTAAATACAAATCAGATGTTCACTCCTAAATTCAATATTGTCTATCATTTAGCCAACTACTACTGTTTCCCAGCCCATAGGAAACAAAATTCTGTTCAGTGTGCCAGTGAATATCAGACATTAAAAAATATTATTAAATTAAACTGTCCAAAATTGGCACCTAGTTTCCCAAATAAATGTGGACAATTACAGTTAGCTAAAAAAGTTTCCATTGTTTTGTTTTATTAGATGCATTTTTTTTTATAATAACTACTACTACTGCATAGGCCAGCAGTCCACAAATACTGCACCCATGGATCACAAGTTTCTGTTCAGTGTGCAAATGTATATCAGCCAAAAAACAATATTATTTAATAAAAAGGCCCCTAGTTTCCTAAATAAATATGGACAATTACAGTTAGCTAAAAAGTTTCTATTTACTTGTTTTGCTAGGTGCATTATTTAATCTTTATTATTGTCAATTTTATCATTTATTATCACATTTTGTTATCATCATTCTTTGTAGTTTATTGTGTAAATGGCTCCCAGCTAGTGAATGTCTATTTAACTATAACAAATAAAACAAAAATCATGAGATTCTACTGAAGTAAAATTGAAATTAAAGTTGGAAGTAACAAACCCGATATCTGTGATTCTTGTGTCTACTATTTTGAAAGCATGTCACACACAAACAGCATGTTGGATCCATTGCACATTCCCTAAATATAAACAATACAAATTCATGTCTAAATTTACCTCCAACCTTGTCTCTCAATCTTAGATTGAGTGTCTCCAATCCACATTCAATAAAATACAATACAAATGCATGTTCATATTAAGTTTCAATCCAATATTAGATTGGGACTCAACCAGATCTTCACCTAAACAAAGGTATTGAAATGATTTGGGATACATTAACTACTGCGCATTTGTCTTGTATATAACTGCCAACACAATAATAAACAAATAATGTAAACAGAAATAATAGCCTACACAATAACAATAATAAATAAGTAATATAAACAGAAATAATAGCCTATATAATAACAATAATAAACAAATAATGTAAACAGAAATAATGGCCTACACAATAACAACAATAAACAAATAATATAAACAGACAGTACAAAGTACAGGTTAAGCTTTGTATGTTTTCAAATAAACATTTAAAGGTAAAATCTATTAAGAATAAAAGCAAAATATTTGTTTTGGATACTACACAAAATAAAATTTACAATTACAAGTAAAATTATAGCTACAGTAGTACATAAATAAATAAATAAATGTATTATGTAATAATAATAATAATAATAATAATAATAATAATAATAATAATACACATTTATAAAGCACCTATTAAAGCAAAAAAACTGGCTTGTCACTAGTGCTGGAAGATGTTCCAAAGAAGTTGCTTTACATAATCTATAAAGTAAACAATAAATGCTACATTAATTACCTGCAAGAGTATATAGACTCCCCACTTTTGAACACCTTTCCACACATTTGTGGTGGATTACTCTTTTGCTTCAGTTGTTGGAACATTTGACTAGGCTCTCCATTACAGATGAACCATTCAAGAGGCTGCAGAAGGTTTTTCTTGAGATTTTCATTCTCTTGTTTGTTATCCAACTCCCCAGACTTGAAGATTTCTGGTACCTTCACCCGCCAGTAGTTCAGCAGTGTATCATGAAATAATGCCTCACTCGTTATCCTCTGCCATTGCTGGGTTAATAACAATTAGAACATATGGTCATTTACTACGAACAATTTACACATAACATAATAATTATATGTGTTTTTTTATTTAAAAAAAAACAAAAAACAATACAACATCTGAAACAGGGATAGGTGGTAGGAATAAAAGAAGAGATTTAATTTGAAAAAAAAAGAGAAGAAACCATGAAATCCTTTAAAGAGAATACAAAATAAAAATACATTGAAAACTCAAATTTGCATGGAAATTGGTAAAGGTGCAGAGATTTGTAACCAAGGCCTACTGTGTATTTACAGGGGTGAGCTAGGGCTAAACATGGTTTAGCCCCTTTAAACCACCCCCACCCCCTCAAAAAAAATATTTATCAACATGTATGTTTTTATGATTTTATTATTACACAGCAGTAGTCTTGTAAGTTGGCCTAAATTTAAACTTTCAGATCTATGAAACTATAATTAGTTCATCCCCTACCCCCAAATGGAAAATCCAGGATCCACCCCAAGGTAAAATAGACAATTGTGAATATATCTTGGTATCTTTTATTAAACACAAATGTCATTGCAATTAACGAAAATCACTATTGTAAATACACCGTTGCTATTTAAGCCATACTATACTGTAATGCTTTTTAAAAGCGCAGGCGATAGCTCAAAAAACAGCTCAAATATGTGCGGAAAATCACTAACTAGAATGGTCTGCAGAATCGTAATTACTGCATAATAATATTGTTTACATATTAAGATTAGGTGACAGCCTAATTTTTGGCAAAATCTGCAAGGAAATCAGCCTTTATTTACTGTGGAATGTGCAGACAAATTTACATACACTTGTAGGTCAAATTTTTGCGCGGATATAATATATTCCTCGTGCAGGGCATACACAGTGTTAAATGTAAGAATTTGTTGTTATGGGCATTCCTGTACACAATCTTTCGCTTTTCTTGGAAATAAATTCTTCATTTTACTGTTCTTTTTTTCTACATAGGCCTAGGTTCTAGCCTACATCATCATTGTATTTTATTATTACTAGGCCTAGCCTAGTACTAAGAAGAATCCAACTGCTGAACTGTGCAGTGAGCAGTGGTGTATTGAGAAACATCCGTATTCCTGAGAACTCAGGCAATTTGTTTGATTTGCTGGGTCTAAGATTGGGCAGCAGGTAGCCTTAGAACCTCCTTAGACTAATCATCATTACCTCCTTAGACTAATCATCAATATCTAGCCTGTCTAGCCCAGGCTGACCTACTAGGCCTAGTAGTAGACAAAGCTGCCAGACCCCTACAAACGCTTAAAATAAAACGAGATAGGCCTAGCCTACTTACATTTGCCAGCGACGCACAGTCAGTGGACTCCATTAGGAATTTCAATACACAAACAGAGAGATTAGAGATGTATGTTGCTACTCTTCTATTACTATAGGTTCAATAATAAAATATCTCAATATTGCTGTCATCATACTCCATGTTCCTGATGAGTTTCCCGAACCCGAACGCGAATTTTTTTATCGTAGTTATCGTAGGTAAGTTGAGCAAATATTTATGAATTATTCATCAGAGTGTCTGAAGGCATTACCAACGCATGCGCAATCTCGCTTCCCTGAACCTACTGTACAGCAACCAAAACAAAGATATATAAAACAAGCTTGTGATATCTGAATTAGAAAGGAAAACGCTTACACTGTATTTGCATGGTATTGTCATTTAATCAATGACGAAAAGTTTAGAAATACAGTACAACAAATAGGTCAGCACTTGACTACAATCAACTAAAAATTCTGACCCTACAGCAAATTATGCAATTGTATATAGCTCAACTAAAAAAGGGTTATCTAAAAGCCGCATAGGCTATACTTTGAGTTACATTGGAATAAAAATATACATAAGCATCCAAACTTAATAACGAATGCAGATATATTTCATAACATCAAATAGTAACAATTACTCAGTATATATGGCAATATTTTGAAGAATGGGAGCCAGAAAGTTCAGACTCATCGACGATGGACCAAACACCAAGAAAAGGAGTTACAGAAACTGTAAATCTCCATGTCTTTGTTCTGTATGTAGTTTTTTTTTTTTTTAATTTAAATTTGTCTGTACCTGTATGTTATCCGCCCTTGTCGTGTTCCATGCCTGGCGATCCTTTATTTTTTATTTTTCTAATGCAAGACCCCCTAACCCCACACACAGTGAAACCCACAACCAATAATCCAACCTTCGCTTACTAAACACCGCGCGACGTGAAAAAGCTGCAGAGCGAAATAAGTTCAGCGAGGCGAGATTGCGCACGCGCTAGTAATGCCTTCAGACACTGAATAAATAATTCATGTTTTTTGCTCAACCTACCTACGATAAAAAAATTCGCGTCCCGAACTTCTTTAGAATCCTCGATGTTGTGACGTATTTAAATATCTATGGGCAGCAAATGGCGCATTCATATTATGACTATATAGTTCCAATTCAATTCGTAATGCCTGTTACAATATGACGATAACGATAAAAAGCTAAAAAAAACATTTGTTCATAAAGAAAGTAAAACAAACAAGAGAAGTTTTCACACTAGCAAGATTCGATAACGATTTATCATATAGTCTGCCTAGGGCCTATAAGATATGAAAAAATAATTTCACAAAAATCAAATCAAATGACGTCATGATCATGAGAAAACGATAAAATCGTTTCTATTACAAAGTGTATGGTGTAAATTATAAAAATTACCAATAATAGTAATAATAATAATATAATAGTGTAGTTTTATATAGCGCACATATCCATCTAATGTAAGATGCTCAGGGCGCTTGATAGGCCTATGTGGACTAGGAACTAGATCAATGACTTTCTTCGCCACTAAGGGTCCCTTCGTGTCTGTGCTACCCGGTAAACCGGTACCATCAACTCTCGTCGTCCACCACAGGGGCTGTCTGTTCCAGTACACCGGGGTATCCCCCTACTCGTCTCGAAGGATGTACTTGGTTCTTTATAGTGCACACGAGCCATTGAACACACTGGGCCTACGGTTTATAGTCCTAATCCGAGAAGACTTGTTCTACCGCCAGAACCATAGGCGGCGTGCAATTATATAGTAACAACATGATAATATATAATAATGATGATGAAGAAAAGTGTTGTGTAGAAAGATTAATTAGGGAACAGTGAAATTACACTGATCTCTGGATTAATTTAGATAGGTAAACACTATTTAATTGTTTTGTGGGCTTTTTTACCGTAATCTTGGAATTTGGTGTGATGACGTCATCATTCTAAATTTGCTCGGCTACTAGGAAAAGTCCCGTTGGACAGGCCTAGACTCCCAATGTCTTATAATATTTTCCTTTAAATGGAAATGCCTCATCCCCCAATATCACGTATGGCATGAGTCCGAGCTCTGGGGAACCTGAAGTTTTTGTCTTCCGGTATATCCAAACTACAATTTATCATAGCTCTGTTAAGTTGGCATCTGGCAAACATTTCTTCCATGTTACAAATCTTTTTTACATCTCCCTGATTAGACCCATAATTTCCAACGTCGATAAAAGGAGAAGCAATAATTTGTATCTACAAGTGCCATTAACACCACAGAATATGTTGACTTATAGTTATAAAACAATGAACCTGAATTGTCTGGAGCCACAATTTGCACGTGCTTTCCGTCAATGGCCCCAATGAAATTGGGGAAGTTCCACCTTCGGTCAAATTTTTCTCTTTTAGCCCGTGATTGTATGGGCATGTACTCCTCCTTCCATATTGCCTGGCACACCTCCGAGGTTATGGTACAACCGTAGAGGAAATACTCATGAATAAAGTCTACTTGGACCCTACTACTCAAAAAGCATTAACATTATATTGATCGGTACGCTAGTTCGAGACGAAAGCCGTAGAGGAACTAGAAATGGAAGTCAGTTGCAAATATTATCTTGTAACGATTCTATATTTTTTATTAAGTTTCTCTATTTATTCGGGTAAGCACTTCCATATCACTTCTATTAATTTGTATTGTTACGGTATATCAATAGAGTTTTAATGGGATAAACGCATTTCTGTATAGTGAAATTGTATAATGCTTGTGTATAGAAAAAAAAAGGTGAAAATATAAATTTCTAAAACATATCGACTTGGTACTAAGCAAACAGTAGAACCTCTATTGCTGTGTCAGCAATAGGCCTATTGTAGGCACTGATATATGTTTGTGTCATGAATTTGGTTTTTAATGCTATCTCTGCATTTTCCTCTTCACATTTTCAAAAAACCCATGTTGTACTCCAGTAAAGGAATTATTATTTTAACGNNCCATTATATATATATATATATATATATATATATATATATATATATATATATTTTCCTACTGATTTTTTTTATCAGTTTATATTAAAGTTTAGTTTAATTTAAGTTAATTTAGTTTAGTTTAGTTTTAGATTAGTTTAGTTTAGTTTTAGTTTAGTTTGTACAAGGCAAAACATATTATGTGTTTGTATTTTTGCTTTTTTGTTTTCTCTAAATAAACTACTAGTGTCTTGTTGTATTACGCCTACTTTTATTCCCATGTTACGGTTGTAGAATAAAATGCCTATTTCATTGAATATATTCAATTAAATTAACGTTATTTAACTTGTTTAACCATAGGAATAAGTTTAGTATACTTATTAATCCATGGATAACTATCAGTATTCAACATTATGTTAATTTACCGTTTTATAATTTATACAGATTATCAGTTTTTGAATAAAGGACATAATATGGTTCGTGTAGCATAGGCCTAGCTCTCAAAGAATATTGTCCTATAAATAAAGAAATAAATACATTGTGCAAT